TTCCTTTCTCCCCTTTTTTCTCCCCTTTTCCATTTTATTTCATTTCCCCCTTTTTCTCCCCCTTTTTTCCTCCCTTTCCCATTTTATTTCCATTTCCCCCCTTTTTTCTCCCCTTTTCCCCATTATTTCCCCCCCATTTTCTTCCCCTTTCCCATTTAATTTCCATTTTATTTCCCTTTTTCCCCCTATTTCCCCCCCCCCACCCCCCAAACTGTAGGAATTTAAGAATTTAGGAAATTTAGGAATTTTCTACGACCTCCAGGTGGCTTTACCCTGTAAATATCTATTTTTTAAACCCGACAGATGAAGAACAAAACGAGGATGTGCAATACCCCCAACCCCCCAAAAAAATCCCGAGGAATTCATGGATTTGCCGTTGTTTTTTTTTGATTTTTTTTCCTTTTTTTCCCTTTTTTTGTGAGGTTTTGGAGCCTTTTTTTCCCCCCCTTTTCCCGGGAGCTTTTGTAGCTGTAAAATATTGTAATTAATGACTTGTTGTTAACGAGATCTGCTGTAAGTTTTGTACTGTAACTGCCCGAGGCTCGGCTTCCAATTAAACGGGAATAATTTAATGTGCCCCAAAATTCCAGGGCCTGCTTGGGGACACTGGGGACAGAAATGGGGATAAATGACACAGAAATGGGGAAAAAGGACACGGAAATGGGAATAAAGGACACGGAAATGGGGAAAAAGGACACGGAAATGGGAATAAAGGACACGGAAATGGGGAAAAAGGACACGGAAATGGGGATAAATGACACAGAAATGGGGATAAAGGACACGGAAATGGGGATAAAGGACACGGAAATGGGGATAAAGGACACGGAAATGGGGAAAAAGGACACGGAAATGGGGAAAAAGGACACAGAAATGGGGATAAAGGACACGGAAATGGGGATAAATGACAGAAATGGGGATAAAGGACACGGAAATGGGGATAAAGGACACGGAAATGGGGATAAATGACACGGAAATGGGGATAAAGGACAGAAATGGGGATAAAGGACACGGAAATGGGGACAGGGATGGGGACAGGGGACATTTGGGACATTGGGGACATCCAGAAATGGGGACAAAGGGCAGAAATGGGGACAGGGAAAATCAGAAATGGGGACAGGGGACACTGGGGACATCCAGAAATGGGGGCAGTGGACATTGGGGACACAGAAATGGGGACAGGGGTAGAAACGGGGACATTGGGGACACAGAAATGGGGACAGGGGACAGAAACGGGGACATTGGGGACACAGAAATGGGGACAGGGGTAGAAACGGGGACATTGGGTACAACCAAAAATGGGGACAGGGGACACAGAAACGGGGACAAGGGACATGGGGGACATCCAGGAATGGGGACAAAGAGCATGGGGGACACCCGGACATTGGGGACACTGGGGACAAAGGACATTGGGGTCTCTCTTAGGGGATTTTGGGGGGGCACAGGACACTGGGGATCCCCAAGAGGGGACAGGGGACACTGGGGATCCCCAAGAGGGGACAGGGGACACTGGGGACACCCGGCCTTGGGGACACCCCCATGTCACCGATGCCCCCCAGAAATGGCGGCGGGGCCGCCGCCCCATTCCGGACTCCATTTCCCAGCAGCCCTCGCGGCGCGCGCGCCCTGCGGATGACGTCACACGCACAGCGCGGGAGCAATCTCACGTGCGCGGCGCGGATCCCTCCGCCCACCGCAGGAAAAATAGTCCCCAAAACCATCCCCGCTCCCGTTAATTCCCCCGCCGCTCTCCGCCCGCCCCACCCGCTCCGGTGCCTCGGTGGAGTCTCCGCGAGTCTTTCTGGGGTATCCCCGTGAGAAGCGGAGCGGAGGGAGCGGAGGGAGCGGAGGGAGCGGAGGGATATAAGGGCGGCGGTGCTGCGGTAGCGCCTCTTCCGGTTCTCCCTCAGAGCCGCCATGGTGAGCGCGGCGTGGCCGGGAGCGCCCGGGGGGCTCGGGGGGGATCGTGGGGGGACCGGGAGGGATCGGGGGGG